AATCTTCCTGTTTTTATTTCACTTTAAGCCCCCCCCCCCCCCCGACAGATATTTATTAGCTGTGTGTTTACTATATGAAGGAGACTGTTTCTTAAAATGCTTTATTTGCCCCCCAGGCCAGTTTTGACCTGTAGTTTGTGAATGCAATTGCCTCAGTGCCACATTTTTCTTTTGCAAATCTTTATACTTTTAATGTCTCTGTTTTAAGAATATGTATGTAAACGTTCTGCCCTCCTGCCCTGTTTCCGTCTAGCATCTCAACTCTCCCTGCAGTGCATCGAGTGCCACATAATCTTCAGTGATCCCAAGAGCAAAGAGCGTCATCTGAAGTTGAGCCATCCAGCAGAATATGAACAATGCATACTGAGGAATGCCCTTTTTGCATGTTATGTTTGCGACCGCCACTTCACAAACTCCACTGAGCTCATGGCCCACCAGAAAGCCCACGTAGAGAAGAAACCCTTCAAGTGTCCAATCTGTGGTCAGGCCTTCAACAAGTCATCAGAGCTCACGCTTCATAAAAAAATTCATTTTGGCCAGGATGGATATGCCTGCACTGACTGTGGCAAACCCTGTAAAACACTGACATTGCTCAAGTACCACCGCCGCACACACACTGGAGAGAGGCCGTATGTTTGCAAGGAGTGTGGAAAGAGGTTCACGATGCCTAAAGCTCTGCAGAAACATATTGTGTCACACTTGCCAGAGGGAACTGAAGGAGATGAGGGAGACACCACTGCCAAAGCACAACCAAAGAAAAATGATGGTAAGAAATAAACTCCATATTACAGATATCACATGAAAATACACATTAAAGTGATAACATACTTTTAGCTATGCTAACAACAAGACACTAGGGAATGCAGTGTTAGTAAGTCTGTAATTTGGTCCATTGCTTTGGTTCAGACTGAAATATCACAGCAAGTATATGGATTTCCATCAAGTTTGTACAGACATTTGTGTTTCGCAAAGGATGAATACTAATGACTGAAGAGCACTGGAGCTTTCCTCTTTGCATTTGTGGTTTGGAGAGAAATGTTTTGACAACTATTGAATGGATTGACATAAAATGTTCTTTTGCCATGGTCCTGTCAGGATGAATCAGAATTATATTGATGAACCCATAACTTATTGTGTAGTAGCATTATCTGGTCAAAATATACATTTGTTCAGTACTTGATTTATGACTCAGTACTTGCAAAAAAAAGACATTCCAATCAACCTCAGCTTAACTGTGATCTGGCAGACATGTGCTCAACTAAGATGGTGATTCAGCTACAAAAGTAATAAATTATATAAAGCAAACACTGTTTGTAAGGTTGCAGAAAATATATTGTGCTTTTCAAGGTATACCACAACGCATCACAGCTTTTTGTCTTTATTACCTTTAGGTCCTTCTACAGTTAAGTATTGTTGCTCTGTATGCAAGGCCACCTTCAAGAGTACAAAGACACGGCTACGTCACATGAAAACTAAGCACAATGTGTTGCCTGCTGCAACCAGTAATCCCCTCCCAACTGGACAGCAAGTGAAAGAAAGTACACCCATCATAACTCCAATATCGATTTGCCAACCAGCACTATTGCAGGTGGAGCCCAATGGACCTCTGCAAAAAGTTGATGCCAATATTGACACCGAACAGATTCGTAAACTTATTGAATCTTTAGGAAATGTGCAGAAAGTGAACCAAGTTGTCATACTGGGGCAGGTGCCACCTAATGCCCCACCACTGGAAGTGCAGCAGATATCACAACTGGCAGAACCAGAGAGTTTAAATCTAAATCCTCCGCAGATAGATTTTATTGGAATGAAACAGTCAGAATCTAAGATAGTTGAACTGAGCTCTTCAAACAATCCATGTGATTCAATGGAGCAAACAATTATACTTGAACCCATTACGCCAGATGGACAGTTGGAAAACCCCTCTTTCTCAGAACTAGGTTCCCACATAGCCACAGGTAAAAATACAGAGCTAACACTTGTTCAGAGTGAACAGACAGACAGACCTGAAGGGGAAGTGATGCATCAGATCCTTCACCAGCATGAAATTGGTGTAGTTCAGTCTGACCCTGTAGAGCAAATGGTTTGTCAGAATGAGGTAGCTGACCTCAAACAAAACCTTGCACAAACAGTCATATTAGAATTGACCCCTGCCTTGATACCAACTGTGGAGCTGGAACAATCTCAAAATGTGCCACAAAATGAAATCCTGCCTTCCTCTCTGGTACCAACCACTGAACTGGAGAAGACTCCTGATCAGACCATAATAGATGAGCAGGAGACCAGGCTGTCTGTCCCACCACTTATGCCTACAGTTGAGTTGGAGCTGACACCTTTACAATCAGAGCAACAGGAACTTCCCTCTTGCCCTTTTGTTCCACCAGACACACTTGCACAAACTCCAGGTGATTCTGAAACTAGTGCCAAAGAAGAAGTTGCACAGATGCAAACGGTAAGTTTAGATCAGGTCCGTTCTGTGCTGGATGCAGCTGCTCCACAAGAGACGCAGGAAAGGGCTGAACAAAAACTATCTGAGAAATTGCTGGTAGATGGCAAGGAAGGTCAGGAGCAGGTGGAGCACCTGTCTGAAGTAAACGATACAGCTGCTAAAGACAAGGCTCCATCACAACTAAAGGTCAAGCAGGTGCCACAGATCTCAGAGGTACCTGTAAATGTAATGTCAGCTCAAGAACTGGTGAAAGTGCGGAAAAGAAAGCCAGCTAGGGCATTTATCTTTCAAGGATATATGCAAGAACTTGTCAGCGCCATACACATGGATGATTTACAAATAGGTGCCAAACCTGCCAAACGCCAAAGAACAAAGAAGTCTCGTCTTGTTGTTAAATTTGGTCCACAAAGCAAAGAGAAGAAAAACAAACAGAAAAAAACATCACAGCAGCATCAGCCAACACTAGAAGGACATATGACAACAACTCTCTCAGACAAAAAAGTAGCATCACAGAACAAGGGAAGAAAAGGGAAAAAGGACAAGAAAGCAGAGCATTTGGTATCTATAGCAGAAATAAAATCACACTCATTAACACAGGACCCACAGAGGCAACAAATTAAGGAGGATACAAGAAAAAATAAAATGAAAAAGCAAAAAGAAGAATCAAGGAAAGATGTCATACACATGAGTGAACACAAAACTGCAGCTTCAACTATGTTTAAAAAGAAAAAACAAGCAAGAATAATGCAAAAAGAGCAGCCCAAGACTCCAAAGGATGGGAAGAGAAAGAAAAACCTGGCAAATAAAGAAAAAGTCAATAAAAAAACAAGTGCCCCTTCAGCAGACATACCTGGCCCACACATAATTCAAGAGTCTTTACTTCTATTGAAAGGTCATAAACAGCCCCAGCTCAAAGTTTACAAGTTAGACCCTTCAAAGGCATCAGGCCAAACACAGGAGGCATCACCTCATGAGTCCCAACAGAGTAAAGGCGACATACATCCAACAAGTGAGTCTACAAGTAATCTCACAGCAGAAAGTAAGAAAAAAGGAGGAAGACCCAAGAAAAACCAGAAAGCTCTTTCATTGCTGTCCTCACTACAGGTTTCCCGTCAACCACTTGAGACACTGCCCACTAAGCCAAAGACTTCCAGGAAACGTAAAGCCCCGTCCAAAGTGGAGACTGAAGGCGTGATAACTTCTTCTCATTCTAAACGTGCCTTAGAGTGTAAGGACTGTGGGGAAAGATTTAGTGAAGTCTCGTCCCTTCAGAAGCACAAGGCAATGGTGCATATTGTAGAGAGTCCCGGTCTCACTTACACCAATGGGAACATTTTTGAAGGGGTCTCCAGATTGGATCTTTACCAGCTTCCACAACAGAATGACAAGACTGTTGGGGTGATGAATGCTGCTACAGACTGGGATACTGAACTTGAGATGGGAGAGATGGCATTGGAAGACAGGGAGCGAACTGTCTCCTTTCCAGCTTTGATTCCGTCCCCGTCTTTATCCCTTCTCCCTCCAGATGTTGAAATGAGTACCTATGAAGGTAAGGGTGGAAACAGAACTGTAGAAGATGACCAGTCTCATACCTCTCCAGAACTTCACTCAGCATCTCATCAAATTAAAAATAGTGAGACCCTTCCAAATTTCACATCTGAATCTGCTCCAAGTATCTCTACTCAGACAAAGAGTTTGGAGACAGGAGAGCATTTAGCATCAGATGAAGCCAAACAAGAAGAGGGTGCAGAATCTCAAGTCCAGGGTACCATGGATGAAGACATTAAGGAGGATTTACTTCTTGAGGTAGATTTAATTACTGTTGGGGAGCAGAATGAAAGAGGGGATCCAACTTCTCCTCAAGAAAGTACTTCACAAAATAAATTAAAGGAAACCTGTAATTCTGAGGATCGACGTATTGAAACACCTGTAGCACCTGAGCAAGCCCCTGAGACAATTAAAAAAAGTCTAACTTCGCAGACTGTGTCATGCTCCACGCATCAAGTAGAGATCAAGGAGGAAAAAGAAGAGGAAGAAATTATAATTGGGATGAAAAAAGATGGAGGCAAAGGAGCTGTAACAAGGAGTGCTACAAGGGGTAGGAAACGAGGAACAGGGCGTCTAAAAAGGGGTATGATATGGAAGAGAAGTTCAGGTGGAGATACTGTCAGGGGAATAGAATTGGAGAAAGAACAGGATGAATGTCAGTTAGTTTATGAAAAACATCCAGTTACCTGTGATTCGGAAATTCATGATGAAGATGAGACTGGCACAAAGATTTTGCAACCAGGGACCGGTCCTGAATTTGAGGCCAACAAAGCTACAGCTGCTGCCACATGTTTGCCTTTTATCTCCTCTACATTAGAGGAATCTCCCGAAGAGCAAGTTGTGTTTGAGCTGGAGTCTGTTACTACTAGTGTTGAGGAGGTAATGAATGAAAGAGGACTGCAGGGAGGAGAGGACCCCGACAGGGAGACTGACGAGTCTCCAGGCATCATATTGGAGAAGTTCCTCACCTCTAGACAAAGAGTGACTGCTGACATAGAGCCTTGCCAAATGACAACAAGGAACAATCAAAGACAGGTGAGATGCTAAATGTACCAACTGATAGCACACATTTGTAATGAACAATGAATACAGCAATCTCACAAAATGTGTTTTCCTTCTAGAGTTTGGACAACATGGCTGAGAATGAAGGACAGGTCCCTTGGAGCCAGGTAATCAAGGCTGAAGAGAACATCTTGGTTCCATCGCTGGTTGCACCCACCTGTCAAAGAAGACAGAGTGCAAGTGTGCAGCCACAGCACCATCATGATATAAGGACTGTTCTGGTGAAGGAGGAGAGTAGTATCATGCTGAGTGATGCTCAGGCTTCACAGGGCAGCAGACACATCAGATGGAATGCAGAGCCAGTCAACAATGAAGCCACCACCACTCCATGTAAGTGCACACTGTAGCAATATGTAAACATTTTGGGAAACATGATTATTTCCTTGCTTTTTTGCTGAGTTAGATGAGAAGATCAGTACCAGTTTCTGTTCATGTGGGCAAGAGCTGTAACCAGGAGGCAATTATCTTATCTTAGCATAATGACAAGAAGCAGAAAACAGCCACCTGGTATTTCCCGAAACGTAAAAAATACACAAATGTAGAAGTAGTTATTTGTAGTCTTAAGGTGAATTATGTGCCGTAGATTTTCAAACAACTGGTGCCAGTAAAGTCCTACAGTCCTGTTGTCACAGTGAGTTTGCCAGGCAGCCTGAGGACACACTGCAAGTACCAAGCTGAGTAGATTAACTGTTGCTTGTCAAGAAATAGTTACACAACAAGACTACAAAAGTTAAAACTACAAGTTTTTGTTTTGTCCTCACATTATTGTTTTTGTATAGTCTAAACATAAGATACAACATGTTCATTGGTGTGTTTTTTGTTTTTTTGTTTGTTTGTTTTTACTTTAGAGAGTGATAGGCTACCTGTTGTATCCCTCCCCTTTTCTTTAACCTAAGATAAACTAATTACCTCCTGGCTCCTGTGGTGGTAGGTTCACTGTGTGCAGCCTTTTCAGGGGTTTATCTTAACTGATGAATCATGTTTTTGGACTGTTTTCAGTAATGGAGAGTGGGGACACATCAAGGGACTGCTTGACCCCTGGGTTCAACACCAATCACTGTATCTTCTACCCAGTGAAGGAGGAGGAGAGGGAAGTTCTACTAGGACCTGCTCAGACTAACAGAGGGATTTTAACCCCAGAAGCCCATCAGACAGAACACCAGACAGCTGCTAGTACTTTACGTGAGTCTTTGTTTTTTTAGCTGTATTCCCAGTGTAGTAAAGAGTATTGGAAGACCTCCATTTTAATGTTGAATATGTTAATAACAGAAGTGAGCCATGCTGCACAAGACTACCAGGAAATGGGAGTGAGAGGACCTTTGTCAGAACCAGGGGTCAGTGAATTTCCTGATGATCAAGGTTTGTTTACTCTTTTTCCAATGACCAATGGACTGCTTTATTAAAACCCTCTAGCTTATTCATTAGAATTGATGAACAGGTGAAATAATAGATGTTTCAGCTGAGGCAGATGCTGAGTGGATGCATCCACCAGACCTCCGGGACTTTCTCCTCCAAAGTTCTGATGAAGAGGACATGAATGGTTTTGAACTGCCTGATCTTCATCGTGACTCAGAAGCAGAAGTAATGGCCTATTTCTACAAGAACCAAACCAGTGGTGCACAACAGGGAGATCAGACATTAAAAAAGTACAGTAAAACTTCATCACGTCTTCACACAACATTGCTAAAAGATGTAAACATACATCTAAACATATTGATACAATTTTATTAAAATGCAAAATTACTGTCATATTGTGCAGAAATTATATTTTAGTGGACAAATAAGACTGAGTCTAGGGCTTTGGAGATTACGTAAAAAAACAAAAGTACTCAAGTAATCATTGCAAACAATTTGCTTTGCTCCCGTGTTGCTTACTGATTTCTCATGATGTTTTTTTTCCCCTCCCTTAGTTTGCCAGCTTCAGTGAGCCAGCCCCAAGCATCAAGAGATGAAAACGGGACCAAAGAGCCCATTGACTACTTTTCTACATATTTTGGTTGGGATACTTGGGTAGAAATTGCCAGCTGCACAAAAAAACTGTCCAACATGCCTAACACCCTCACAGCCAGAGAGGTTGCACAGTTTGTTGGGATCCACATTGCAATGGGAACCTTGAAGGTTTGTCTTCCTGTCTGTCTGATTTAAATTTTTTTTTTCTTAATTAAATACATGCAAGCCCCCTAAAAGTTTATCTGGTCTTTTGCTATTTTTCAGTTTCCTAGTCCGAGCCTCTACTGGGAAAACTTCACTAAGGTGCCCTTGATTGCTGAAACCATGCCACTGTCCCGTTTCCTCGAGCTGTCTCGCGTGTTGAAGCTAGCTTCTCCTGCAAAGGATCCAGTCAACAGTAATGTTATGGAAGGGAGGCATGCTAATGAGTTTCAAAATGTACAGCAAAATAAAACTCTGCTCAGCAGGCAAGGTGTCATTTCGCATAGTGATGGGGAGAAGCAAGGGGACAAGCCAAATGACATGAACAGAACAAAAACACAGACTGATCCCTTGTGGAAGGTTCAGCCATTATTATGTCGATTTAAAGCAGGGTGCCAGTCACTGAGGAGAAAGGGTGATTATGCAGTTGACCAGTATCCACTTCCTTTGATTGGGAAGATGCACAATAACAAGCTGTCTCTCCACTCCACTACATTAATTGGATATGGCGGTTTGCTCTTACATGTGGATCTTAAATTGGATCGTTCAGGCAAAGAAGAAGCTGTAGAAAAAATGGTCCCTAAAGGTAGTATGGTGTTTCTTTGCAAACAGGAACTCTCCACTCCTGCAATGCTAGAACGTCTACTAGTTGCTGGAGTTCATGGTGCAGGCAGGGTAGGAGGAGCACGAGGACAGATCGGGGATGAATTTGTGAGCTCAGATGGGAAGCTGATGTTACGCAGATCACACTGTGGCTTCATACTTTCTACTGCGGGAAATGGACAGAGGAACATGGCTTCTCTCACTGACAACTTTGAAAAAGCCCAAATGTCGGCTCGTCTCAACAGAGATTTAAAAAATCTCTACCCTATCCCTCTCATTGCCTCGGCCCCAAGCTGCTGGCCTCAAGCAGTGCTGTGGTACTTAACAGATCTGGCTTTGGTCAACTCCTGGCTCCTGTACCGACAGGATCACATGACAGCTTCTGCACTTTTAACTCTTATGGCCTTCAGATTGGAGGTGTCCAAGGCTTTGATCCTCTCCAGCAGCTCAGACACCCAGGACTCATTTCCCCCTCAACCTCCCACAGAGAAGGCCCATACACCAAATGAAATGCCCAGTCCCAGACTAGTGGAAGACTGCCCTCTTCCAGATGCAGCCACACGGTATGACGGTTCAGGTCACTGGCCAGAGCAGCTTGGAGAGGGAGAAGGAGGCCGGTGTCGTTTTGGGGACTGTCAGAGAACATCTCGAGTTCTATGCCTTAAGTGCTGTGTCTTTCTTTGTATCTCACGGAACAACAACTGCTTTTTGAATTTCCATAATCAAGGGAGTTTGGGAAAACAGTAGTCTTTTAGCCTTTTAGCTTTTAGCTTGAACATCTTACTGTCTTATCTCGATTGTATTTGTGCTTTTGGTGTATGAAAACAATGCTAGTCATAAAAGAGGTATTATCTCCCCAGTTCTTACAACTTTTTCATGATGCATTTCAGTGGCAATGTCATTCCTTTGATAGGATAAGGATAATGATAATCACCTTTATTGGCCAAGTATGTTACACACAAGGAATTTGTTTCCGGTGCAGAACCGATGGCAGCCATCTGCGGCGCCAACTCAACCGATGGCTCTAACCATCAGGGGCAACAGCGGGGTTCAGTGTCTTGCCCAAGGACACTTCGACAGGTGGATTGCCAGCACTGAGATTTGAACCTTCAACCTTCTGGTTGGGTGATGACTGCGCTACCCACCGCTCCACTGTCATGTCCTCGCTTCTCTTTTCCTCTTATAGGACTATCATGCTACGGTTTAAAAAACAAGTGCTTTGTTAGCTTATGTCATTGAGCAAGTGTAAAATTTAATTTGCCTTCAGAAGGAAATATAAAAAAACATTCCATAACCTTACACATTGTAGTGCAAAAGACATTACTATTACCATGGTGGTTTTTTTTTTTACTATTTATATTAGTCTAATGTAATTTATATTCCATGATGAGCCTGTTTTTGCCTCTGTGAATTTAAACATAATTTATTAGAATTTCAGAATGCAATAAAAGACAGATGAGAAAATGCATGCATTATTATTTACTTTGTTGAAGACTGCTGACTGCTTGTTTTGCACAGTACGCCTTTTCACAGTAAACATTTTGACTTGTCATAGTAGAAATGCACAGGTGTTAATATTAACAGTGAGGTGTCCAGTGAGCCGTGCTAAATTATATTTACCTGTGCTATTCCTACTGTGACATACCAATATTGAGATGATGAGTTATTCATCCCAGAAGCGCAACTGAGTGTCACCAAGACCATAGTCCCCAATATGTACTGAATCTGTACATGACTACTGACAATCATGTAATTAAAATGTAAATAACTACAAATTGTATACACAGTGCTATACAAAGTTATAATACATGAATAAGAGAAATAAGATACATTTATATTGTACAAACATGGTTATCCAGATAGTGTGAAAGGTGGTTATAAGGAAGAAATTGACTTCAAAACACTGGGACAAGTGACGGTGATTTTGTAAAACAGGCTACCGTTTACACTGTTGCATGGGTAAACATGCAGATATAAAAGAAAGGGATGCATAGAGCTGAACTGGAGAGAGAAGTAAACATTACAGTGCAGTGAATGAAAATTACAGGAGGCACTTTTTTACCAAATAGTTTTGGGTCACGTGACGGAGATAAACCATAGAATCAGACAAAGTAGAAAAGAACGTTCAAATCACACCCGCGTTTATAGAAAGATATTGCTGTACTTCTGTGTATTTTGGCTTATTTTATTTGATAGTGTAGTATATTAACAAGCGTGGTAGGAATGTTAAAATATTATCCGTTATATTGCTAGCTTATACTGTAGAACTGTTGACATTGTGCTTCGTTTTCCATTAAAAGTTTGCGTTTCCTTGTGCATTACTACGATGTAAAGCGGTGCCCTGTATCAGCGACGGGGCAACTTGGCTAATCTATAGCTGATGTTTGAATATCCTCTGTGAACATGAATCAAAAACAGCATAGTACTGAAGATTCGCGGCAGCCATCTTAGTTGTACCATTATAACCGCGTACTAGATATTGTACGATCTATCCGTTGTATTTCTCTGGGGTCAACTGTCTCAGTAAAACTACCC